GAACATGAACTAATACGAGATTTGTTTTGGTTAGTACTTTTATGTGCATAGTGTTTTACTGTGTAAGTCTCAGATTCTTGTCCTATAACCTAGACAAGACAGGCATCATTAGACTTTTTGTCACATAAGAAAGTTGAAATGGAAGTTAAATCAGTTCCACTGAGTGAAACCCATATTTATGCCTGTTACTACTTTTTATATAAAATACTGTATCTTACTAATGCTAGAGACTTAATTTATGAACTTTAGATCTTCTCCAGAAAGATATAAACACTAGCGATATTTTTCAGTGACCACAATAACAATAGCTTTAAGCTCTAATTTTCTAGAATTATTTGCTACAGATTATAATCATAGAGCAGTTTCTCAACTTTGGGGTAGGGGGAAAGAGCAGTGAGAAGAATTTGAGGAGTAGAATTCCTGTGTTTGCAAAAGGGTTTCTAAAGTCTCTAAAAGTTAAACTAAAAGACAACAAAGGTTTTGCAAGTCATACAGACAACCATTTCTCATCTGCACTGTGAAACCATTTGTTTATCACCCAGATATTCCTAATGAATCACATTCCAGACTAACCACTAACTCCCTTTTGTTCCTCAGTGAAGGAGTATGGCAAACAAATGGTTTCCCAGTGAATCAGCACAGACTTCTTGATTTTATTACCTTTGCCCTAAACTTTCCAGACAAAACTAATTGGAAATTTTGCCTTTGGGGATCTCACTTGACTTCTGTGTATAGATGATGGATTAGGCTATGAATTGATGTTACAGATGTTGTGCAAACAACTCTAATCTTTAGGAATGTTTTATCAGTTTGACGGAGCCCTCCTAGAGTGGAATTTCTGTCTGTCCCTCTTCATCTTATTTGATGAAGCTTGATAAATTCTTCATCTTATTTAATGAAGAAGCCAATTTAGGTCCATAATTAAATAATATGACAATTTTAGGCTTTTTGAAATAATGTTTCGGGGCCCTAGAATACACTGAGCTGGATCCCATTCTTTTTCTGGTCTCAGGACTTTATTTTTAACTGTATTTTATGTTGAAAGATAGACATGAATTGAACTTTCAGTCTTTTTGAAAGCTGCAAAGTATGTAAAGAAGGAATATAGGAAATCAATAGCTGCTCTCAAATAAACTTACTCCACAGCAGTTGGTTTGAGTTTGGTTGAGTCTTATGCACTCACTGCCACTGAGTTGATTTCCAAGTCATAGCAATATGCCATTGGGTTTCCAGGGCTGTAAAACTCAGTGAAAGATACCACAAGATAAAAGTAAATAACCCAATTGAAAAATGGGCACAGGATATGAGTAGAAACATCACCAAAGAAGACATTCAGATGGCCAACAAGCACTTGAAGAAATGTTCAAAATCCCTAGCTTTAAAAGAGATGCAAATCAAAACAACTATGAGATATCATCTCAGCCCAGTAAGAATAGCAGAATTTAACAGAATGGCAAACAACAAATGCTGGCAAGGTTGCAGAGAAACTGGAACCCTTATTCACTGTTGGTGGGAATCTAAAATGGGGCAACCACTATGGAAGGCAGTATGGCGCTTTCTCACAAAGTTGCAAATAGAAATACCATTTGACCCAGCAGTTCCACTACTGGGAATATACACTAAAGAAACCAGAACTGCTACCCAAGCATTGTGGCTTTGTTGACAACAGCAGAGTTGGAAACAACCCAGGTGCCCATCAACAAACGAATAGAGAAGCTCTAGTATATTCGCACACTGGAATACTATGCTGCATTGAAAAACAAGGAGCTCATGAAATATTATACCAAATGGGTGACCCAGAAGGACATTATGCTGAGTGAAATATCTCAGTGACAAAAGGACAAATAGTGCATAGTGCCAGGGTTGCGGGGAGATTGAGAAAGTGGATATAAATAATGTATACTGCTTTGTAACAGATGAGGGAGAGAACTGTTTAAAAAGGATGTATGATTAGGTATTATTGTCATGACAGGACTCCCGAATGAAAGCTACATAGTGGAGTGGACTTGGGAGGAAGGACTGTCTTAACAATGAAAGAATTTTTCTTTTACTTTTCAAAGAGAAGTGCGAATTTGGAGGGAGGGGTGATCAAGGAGAAAAGTGAGACAGTGAATGAATGGAAATCTAAAGTCTCTGTAAACGTTCTTAAAATTAATAATATTTTAAAAGAACAACCCTCAGGGAAGAGATGTCCATCTCGTTCCCATTGGACATCTGAGGAATTTAGACCACCAGAGTTGTGTAAACTTTTGGTTAGCAGCATAACAGACTATACCCCTATGACTCTTTGTTTGAGTTTAGTGGTCTGGTAAAGTCCTGGAAGCATAGTAAGTGTACTTGGATGCTAACTAAAATGATGATGGTTCAAACCTACCAGCTACTCTTTGGGTAGAAGAATGTGGGAGTTCGTTTTTCTAAAGAATACAGCCTTAGAAACTCTTCGTGTAAGTATGTTCATTATAGTTGTAAAATATCAGAATTGATTTGAGACAGTGCATTAGTAGTATATTACTATTTTTTTTTTATTTTATATTTTTTATTTTTTTGGTGAGTGTACCGTCAAATCAGATCTGACTGGTACAGGAGGAGATTGTCCCTCCTTTTCCCGGCAGAGCATCTGGTGGATTTGAACCTTGCGCCTCTGGGATTGTAGTTGCAGCTCCTTGCCACTAGGCCACCAGAGCTCCCCTTATATGATGCATTTTTACATAGACATCACATGCCCCTTCTACATTATCTTTATAAGTATGCTATAGCAACATTTTTATGGAGCTCTGGGGCCTGGTGGTAAGGAGCAGTGCTGCTATACCAAAGGTACCCGGTTTGAAATCATCAGCTACTCCATAGAAGAAAAATGAACAGTCTTTGCCCATGCAATTTAATGCCTCTGAAAACCCATTGGAGGGTCATCTATGAGTCATTTTTGTCTCAAAAGTAGACAACAGCAAAATTGACGAATTTGATAGAATAAGATGGGTCTGACTGGTTCCATACATCTATACCATCCTGCTGCCTCATTTAATGAGGACCTGGCACTGCAGAGTCATGAACATGTATGAGCAGCAGCCCCCACTTCGCACTGTACCAGCCAACTCTCACCTGTCTCTGGCAAGATGTACCTAGGTGAAGATCTCTTAGTTACAAGCAACTGTAGTGCTCTCAGGCCTGGTCACATACTGCCATGTTCATACATGCAATGTTCTTGCGATGGTCAATAACTCTGCTATGAACACTGGTGTACAAGTCTCCATTTGTGCCTCAGTTCTCATTTTCTCAAGGTACATTTCAAACAGTGGAATAACTGGGTCATATGCAATGTCTATGTTCAGCTTTTTGAGGAAACTCCAAATTGGCTTTTATAGTGGTTGTACCATTTTACACTCCCACCAACAGTGTATAAGAGTTCCTATCTCTCCACATCCTCCGACATTTATTACTTGCTGTACTGTTAAACTTTGCCACAGCTACTGGAGTGATGGTATCTCATTGTAGTTTTGTTTTGCATCTGCCAGTGATTTTGAACATTTTTTCATGTCTCTGTTGGCCATCGAAATGTTTTCTTCTGTGAAAACTCTTCATGTCTTTTACCCATTTTGTAATTGTGTTATCAGTCTTGTTCTTGTGGAAGCTCTGTAGGATTCTGTAAACTTCTGAAATGGTATTGCCAAATGTTTTTTCCCCTAAGTGGAATATGTATTTCTTTAATTCTCACAAGTACCCTAGGGAGCTCGGATGGCCTACTGGTAAGGAGTAGTCCTGCTATACTAAATGCATGCAGTTCAAATTCACCAGTTGCTGTACTAGGGAAAGATGAACACCCTCCCATGAGATTTACTGCCTCTGAAAACCAGATGGAAGTTCAACTATGAGTTAGGTATAGGTGCTGTAGATCTTTTATTATTCCAGGTTTAGAGATGAAGTTGAGAGTTCAAATGGTGCTTGACAGAGAACTTGAGTCATACCATCTGACTAAAAAGACTACTATTAGCTAATGTGCTATATACTTTACCTAAAAAAACAAAGCAAAACAGTGCGTAATACGCAAGTTGTATGGGAGGAGATTGTCCATCTTTCTCCCCAAAACAGTCAGTGGGTTTGATCTTTCCACCTTTGACATTGCAGTGAAACTAGGTAACTTAGGACACCAGAACTTTGTCTAAAGCATGCTTTATAGTTAATACTTATGCTATCATATTTATTACAGAACATGTTAAGATTATGTCAAGCTTTTAGTTCTTACATCTCCTGAGAATTTTGGAAATTGGTGTTTGATTTTTAATAGTATACTTTTACTTTTGGATGTATAGTATTCTGGAATTGGGGAAAACCTTTAAGATTCATCTTATTCCTTTTTCTTACAGTAGAGTAAGCTGAGAATAAGTAAGATTATGTGGTTTATTCAGTGTTACTTGTTTTCCTGTTTTCTGACTCTAAATTTATTATTCTTTCAGTAATTCCTAAGCCAAGCTACCTATTAAAATCTCTGAGAAAACATGTTTTTAAAAACACAAAATTCTAGATCTACTTTTTGAATCAATTTATTATTAGGAAACCTAGGAAATTTATTTTTTAGTCAAGCTTTCTAGATAATTTTTGTGTGCATATTTCTCTCTTGTATGTTTGAGTATATAACCACTGTGTTTAAACCCTTATCATACATCTGATTATTAATAATTTGAATTTATTTTATTAATTTTTAATATTTATGAATAAAATTACATGGCAGCACAGAAGTTCCCATAGGGGGAAAAAATTACTCAATGATTCTGGTTCTGTAGTTTTATTTTTGCTTTAAGACTTCTGGAAAAGTGAATGAGGTAGTTATTTTACCAACAGATTTGTAAGTAAGGAAAAAGAATGATAGTTTGAAATTGTGCCTGTTTCTGTAGGAGCATAGGAAATTGCTTTCAAATACATAGCAATCAAGGTATCACTGAAAGAGTATATATGCTGGTAACTCCTTTTTGTTAATATTTCTAATCAGTGTTTTTGTTTCGTAGGGTCCACACATAGCTTCTGTGACGTTAGCTGCTTATGAATGTAATTCAGTTAATTTCCCTGAACCACCCTACCCAGATCAGATTATTTGTCCAGATGAAGAGAGTATTGAAGGAGCTATTTCCTTGTGGAGCATCATCTCAAAAGTTAGGATTGAGGCCTGCATGTGGGTAAGATACGCACTTTCATATTTCTCTAAAGCTGTTCTTGCTATCTTGCTACTTTGTTGTGGTTTGAAATGGAATCTAAAGAGATACCTAAACAATAAATATTTCCTATATCCATGATTCATGAAGTCTTTTCCCTATTACTAAGGCTAAAGAAATTTCTCCTGAATAGTATTCAGACAGAAGGCATGAAACTAGAGGTATTATAGAAGCATGTTGCCAAGTAGACATAGCCAAGGAAAGTAATATAGAGGATATAACCATCCTATTATGTAAAATTTATTTCAGTATTGCGGTTCAAATCCATCAGGTGCTCTGCTGGAGAAGGAGGGGGCAATCTCCTCCTGTACCAGTCAGATCTGATTTGACGGTACATGTAAAAAATAATACAATAAAAATTAAAAAAAATTAGTATTTATTTATTCTTGATAAACACTTAAAAACCCATTAGTGTTGATTTGGGCTCATTGTGTTTCATTAAAGAGACATAGTGATGTAACTATTTTCATTTATTTGCATAAAAAGATTACTAGTTCTTGTTCCTTATTAGTATTAGGGGAAGCATGAGCAGAATTAATATATTAAAAAAAATTATCTAAGTAAAATCTTTTCCCCCCCCATTTCACTTAACACTTCCTTTTACCATAAGGAAACTTGTCATGAGTTTCAGTCTTCTGATTGCTTTCACAACTATTGAAAACTGACTTGACAGGTTTTGAGGGAAGTTGTGTTTTTAATAAAATGTGGCAATTAGTTTTTCTACATTTTATTGAAACAAATAAGCTTAATAAAATTAGAATTGTATAGTGGGCTCAGTATATTTTCACTAAACTTAGTCAAATAGTTTTTCCACAGGCAGAATTTTACTAATTGTATTCCAGTTCGTTTTGTTAAAACATGTTCCTCTGTTGTCTGCATTTTCTGTATGTAGCTGATACTTTTTTCATTGAGTCAAGAGTCAACTCATACCTGATCCTCCGGTGTTTAGAGGCTCTAAATTGTAGCAGATTACACTGCCCATCTTCTGTGAAGCTACTGTTAGGTTCATATCACCAGATAAGCACTGCATTTTAGTTGGCAGCACAATTCCCTATGAACTGCACCACTCAAGCAGCTTGTAGCTGATCTAGTTAGATCTAATGACTTGAGGGAGTTATGGTGGCCTTATGGGTAAGGAGTTGCATGGCCAATACCAACCCACAAGCATAATCAATGAAACACAGATAGACATGCCTCTGTTACTCCCTGCTTTCAGCCAAGATCCATCTTATATTAGCTACAATATCACTAGTACCACAACCCCTTCTAAATCCAGTCTGCACTTCTAGCACTTCTCTGATGTGCTGTTTCAGGTGTTTTTGGATAATCTTCAGCCGAATCTTGCTTGCATGTGATATTAATGATATTGTTTGATAATTTCCACACTCTGTAGGATCACCTTTCTTTGTAATGGGAACAAGGTCTTTTCCAGTCAGTTGGCCAAGTGATCTCATTTCTTGACAAACTTGGTGAGCACATCTAGGGAAGCATCTGTTAGTTGAAATATGTCAATTGGTATACCATCAATTTCTGGGGCCTTATTTTTTTGCCACTTCCTTCAAAGCAGCCTGAACTTCTTCTTTCATCACTATAGGCTCTTGCTCATATGTTGTTTCATGAAATTCTTCTGTGTCTGCCAATCTTTCCATCTTTTCATGGTTTCAGGATAATTTAATATTCTGCCAAAGCATCCTTAAGTATTGGATCTCGAAGTTTGAATTTCTTCTTCAGTTCCTTAAGCTTAATCTACAATACCCCAATTGTCTAAGGCTTCAGTATAGTGTCTTACTTAGTGTTGTACAGAACCAGGGTGAGGATTCAAACTCCAGTCTTTCAGGTTGAATAACATATGCTTTATCCCCACTATGTTGCATCATAAAATGCTTTTGTTGGCATAGAGAAGTTTAAATTTTATCTATTTAGTGTCACTGTATTGAGAACAGAACCTTACTTGAATATTTTGGGTTTTCCCTTAGGGTGTTGGTACGGCAATTGGAGAGCTGCCTCCATATTTCATGGCAAGAGCAGCTCGACTCTCAGGCGCTGAACCGGATGATGAAGAATATCAGGAATTTGAAGAGATGCTTGAACATGCAGAGACTGCACAAGTAAGAACAGTGGGGAAAAGAAATAGAATGCTTGAATTATCCATAAATGGGATTATGATTAAGGTTAAATTATCAGTAGTTACACTCACTAAAGAAGAAAGCAGCCCAAGTGGAAAAATGCAGTATGGCTTGGAATGCATTTGAAGAGCATACTTTTCAATGGACATTTCATGCTGTCATAAAATATGCAGCCATATAATATACTTAACATCTTCCTATTTTGAAAAATCATTCTATATAAATATTGGTGCAAATCTCTGATTTCCTTAAGGTGTTCAGAAATGCTGACATATAAAAGGAAATCTGGCAGTTCGAATACATCAGCTGCTCAGTGGGAGAAAAATTGGCAGTCTTCTCCTGTGTGATCAGCTGTGAGTCAATTCAGACTCAGTAACAAGTTTCACATGAATCTTGATTTTAGTATAGGTAACAGAGTTGATAAGAGAACATCCATTGCCAAAAACCAAGGTAAATTCTTGTCACCATTGTGTTTAAAAGTATTACCAAATAGCACTGCATGAGTAAATGGCAAATTGGGGAGGGGGTAAACTGGGTGGTTCTTAATTCCAGATATCCTTTATGCTATGGGTAAAAACTGTTTTCCAAACAAATTAGTATCATAAGCAAATTTAAAAAATGTTATTTTCCCTCTAGGAGTTTATGTCACATACATTTTTAAAGAGACACTACCCATTATTTGAGTCTAGAGATGGGGACACTAATCTCAGGAAGCTATCAACAAAATACACATACCTCTCTACCTCATTTAGAATAAATCTCTGTTCTCAGAATTTGATACATGTTGTATTTGTTATGAAACCACATAATGTGATTATTTCTGTAGTAACCATTTATCCTCCTAAAAGGTAGATGAAGGCCGATTAAGACTTAGTATGGAAACCTCCTTTGATTGAGATCTTTCTCCCACTATGCATCCCTCCCTGAACTTACTCTTCACTAGGAAAGATTTGAAACATATGCCTTTAGTTTCGCAGCACAACTCTTTACCACTAGGCCACCAGAACTGCCTTAAGAATCTCTAAGGGTAAGCTTTGTCATAGAAAGAGGATGTTTGGTAGTACCATCATATCTTGAGTGGAGATGAGTATCACCATCAACTTAAAGCCGATTATTTTGTGATAAGAGATCGGACATACCTTTACTTTCCAGCTTTTTCACCATTTCTAATATCAGCCATCCCCATGATAACTCAGGAAACACCATAAAGTTCATCAATCAGGATGACTTTAAATCAAGGTTTTTAATTTCTTCTTGGCCATGCTGTTAGACACAAGGAGTCTTCTGTCAAGTGTGCCTGCAGGCAGACGTTCTCTTGGCCTGACCCTGCTTGTGTAAGTGCCACAAGGCACCCAATTTGCCTAGCAAACCTAGAGAGAGTTGCTTAGCTTGCTCAAGAGCTGGAGGTGCTTTTCCCTGGTCTCTTGGTTCCTACTGCTCATACTGCTGCTGCTATTTCTCTGCCTGGTTACCCGCATTTATCATCAGTGTTAAACTGCAGGGAGGTTTTGATGCCTAGGAGTATACATCAGAAACGTCTTTTTCTATATGATAAACTTTTCAGAATGCAGGATTGTAAATAATGATCTGTAAGCTTATTAGAAGAGCTCTGGTAACTTGGTGTTAGAGAGTTGTGCTGCTCCCCCTAATATATGTCTCTCTGCTGGTTCAAATCCACCAGTGGGTCTGTAGGAGAAAGATGGATGGACTCCTCTCATGCGATTTACAGGCTTGAAAAGGCAATGCAAAGTCAACTATGAATTGATGCTGACTAAGAGCAATGAGCTTGCATTTCTTTTATAATTTTTTTAAATTTCAGTGATCATCTACAGAGTTTTTGGATTTCCATTCATTCATTGTTGCACTTTTCTTCCTGCTCCCCTCCCCCACTTTGCTCCTCTCCTTGAAAAGCAAAACAAAAACTCCTTCATTGGTACACAATCCCCCCCACACACACCCCACCTCCACCCCACCCCAAATGTACTCCATTCTGCAACCCTCATTCCGGACTCGTATGATAATCATAATGCCCTAAAATATATTACTTTTAAACTGTTCTCTCCCTCATCTGCTTCCATGCAGTAAACATAATTTATCTGGTTTTTCTCAGTCTTATCCCCACCCCTATGTCAGCCTCATTCTACAATAGTGGCACCATATAGAATTTGTCCTTTTGTGACTGAGATATTTCACTCAGCATAATGTCCTCCAGGGTCACCCATTTTGAATAATATTGCATGAGTTCCTTGTTTTTCAAT